GTTAAAATAACATCTCTTGAAGGCTATATAGTTTGAGATCAAAATACCTCTAATATCTACTACAGTTGTACTGGAATTTTTAAAGCTGTGCACGGTATGTCAATCTAAAAAAAATTTCCAACCAAAACAATCACTTACTCAACTGTATCCAGCGACTTCAATCATCGAGGCCAAATTGATTTTGTTGACTTTAAGTCAACCCCAGATAGAAATTACAAATGGGTATTAAACTACTAAGACAATGTGACAAATCTCAGCTTTCTTCAACCGTTGACTTCAAAAAGAGCTTTTGAAGGAGAAATTGAGCTTTTACAAATATTTTTGAAAGTAAGTTGTCCTCGTATACTACAAAGTGACAATGTTCATACGAGAATTTACTAACCTGGGGCCAGTGCTCAATATTGTAAATCAGGCATGTCAAACTCATTTGACATCACAAGCCATATGATCTATTTTATGTTAAGTTGAGGGCTGCATGTTTTCAATGTTAAAAAAATTCAGAAAACAGGACTTTTAGAATGGTTATATTCTATATTTATAAAACTCAATGTATTATATATTATACGTGCATAATCGTTTAATATTTCATTTTATTTATTAAACTATACATGTTTTATATTGTTTTATAAAAAAACCCCCAAAAAGTTATTAAATGAAATACAATTTAATGTTAATTTTAGAAGATATTTCACATCGTTTTTTTTCTCAAAGCAAGTCACCCAAATTTAGTTAAACATATTGAGCTGATGTAATTTTTAAAAAATGATGATGCTGTTCATCTAATCTCAACCTCTCCGACTTTTGGTTATTTTTTGTTAAAGAAAAAGATTGCTTGCATAATTAAGGGCTTCCAAACTTAGCCATTATTCATGTAACAAATGATATTTTAAGAAATCGATCTACAGATAGGAGTATGTAAAAACATCTAGTTTCCAATTCCAAACATTTTTGCTTCAGCAAAGAATCGCAATAGATTTAAATTAATTCCTTTTGTAACTTTTCATCAACAATTACTATACCGATAGATAGGTGAATTTAAACGAAATAGTAATTCAAATTTTTTAAAATCAGAAAATATTCGATCAAATTCCATCTCTAACAATTTAATTTAGGGAGAATATTCTGTAAATTTTAATTTAAAGGATTTAATCAATAGATTTTTTTTAAAGCTCTCAAAGCAAGACAAGTTTTCTTTTTCTGTTTGTAATAATTTTTCAGGTATAATTTTTGTTTGAAAGCATTAATTTAATCAAATAGCATTGTAGCAAAAAGATTTTTGCCTTGAAGCTTAAGTTAAGTTGACTTGTAATACCAACTGAGAAAGCCAGGTGCTTTACCTAATGTTCATCTTTTAATTCAGCACTTTCGTAATTTTTGTTTCCAAGAAAATGATTTCATACAGCAATTTAAAAAAATCATTTTAACATTTTATGAATCAAAATCCACCAAACTTTCCTGCAACAAGTTTGACCGTGATAAATTTAACATTCTAAATCTTTGAGAAATGAAACAAATCGACGATACCAAAATCTACATGTTTGAATGTAATTTACAATTTTCCTGATTATTTTAAAACATGTCCAGTATATCCAAGTACATGACCGAGAACCATACTTGCCATGGAATAATACAATGAAAATGTTCAAAATTACTATTACCATGCTGTTTGCTTGTTTCTTTTAATCTGGCAACTCCTTTGGTAATACTGGTCATGGTAAGTGATCTATCAGTTGCAAAACAAAACAACTTTTCCAATGATAACTTGCACTTCATCAAGATTTCCAAAAAAGCATAGAAAACATGTATTATGCATAATACATGGCTCGACTATTTCATCACCTCTGCTGGTTACAGAATTTCAACTTAAAATTACACTTAAAAATTTTTACTTGAGTAAAAAGAAATTTACTCATATTATTTTGTAATACCTTATTTGTTCCAAGCAGCCCCACCCTAAATTCTCAACAAATTATTGTGAAAAATGAAAAATAATATAAAATGGTTTATCAATATCAAAAATTTTATGAAATTTAAATAAATTTAAAATGAGAACTAATAAGTGAATTATTTGTTATTTTATCAGTATTACAAACTTTTAATTACGTACGGGAACCTGTAATTGTTCTAAATACTATACCCAGCAAATTTCTTTTCCTTCGATTCAGAGCTGCATCCGATTTTCAGTAGGCATCAACATTGGAAAAAAAATGCGGCTTAAAAATTCAAGTAAATACGGTAATTCCTACGCTTTTAATTAAGCATTTTCTAATAATTTCTTTTTCAGTAAATAGTTTCGATCAGCTTGCGATTAAAAGTGATAATATAGTTTTTAATGCAGTTGTATTGTCTTCAACAAATTTTGGTGGCCGCGGTAGCCTAGTGGTCAAGGTAACAGACTTGAGTCATGAGTTCGAGCCTTGTACCCCTGAAGATCTGCAATGCAGAGGGGGCGGATGCACGTTTAATATATCGTGGCTCAGACGTCCTCCCGTTGGTGTGGTGTGGAAGTTAGGAGAAGGAGGTTCCAGCTCAGGTGTCTTCCTTCTCACTTGACCATGGTTCAAAATTACATGGTACGTGGCCCAACGCCTTCGAGTAGCGGAACAGTTTGATGTTAACATTCACTTACTTACTTCCTCAGCAAATTTAATGCATAAATTTTTTTCATTTTTGAAAAGTTGATTCCAGTTCCGACAACTCGTCTTCACAAAGTTTCGCAGAATATTGATTATAGAGTGTTTTCTGATTTGTGTCAGTGTTTTTTAAAATCGTATTCTTTTGCAACTAAATTACAGTTTTTACATATCAGGCACAATATTATATTTTTGTTTTGGGCATAAAAATATTACAGATCCCATTTTTCTTGAAAATTACTATGTTCATCTTCAGTTCATCGTTTTTTACTCTGTTCTTGAAGTTTGATTGTATTTATTAAATTAACTCTTTAATTTAATATGAATAAAAACCAAAATCCACTTTCATTCACAAACAATTGAGTAAACATTGCACTTTGTCTTGAGTGTTTTAATTTTTTAAAAAAATGAAACTTTTCAGTGGCTTCTGGTGTCACACAATCACATCTCACTGATTAGACACTTCAAAGAGAAATAAAAGTTGCACACACAATGAATCGTAGTGTGATCTATAGCGAATAATATGCATAAAGCATTTAAAAATTTATTATAATAAATTTAAATGAAAAAATTTAATAAAATATTAACTTTTTATTTTAAGGCTATTTTTATAATTAACTAGGATTTTTTTAAAAAAACAATAGATAATAGGTTAATATATTGTAAATTTGTAAAAAAAAGTTTACGGAAATTTTTTTAAAATACCCTCCGCCCCCCAAAGATTAATACTTAAAATTTTGTTATAAATGTCTCAGTGGGCTGCAACCTATGTATTGGCGGGACGTTTGACATGCCTGTTGTAAATGATAGGCCTAGACATCTAGCTAGTAAAGTGTTTTTTTCTAGAATAGAACCTATTGGCGAATCCATTCATGTGACATTTGTAAAAATCTGGTGCATGCATTATGTGGAAATACAGTAGAAGGAGGATATGGATTGAAGATTCTGTGCTATTTATGCCAAAAAGAGGAGAGCATTAAATATCAAAGGGAAAATGCTGCAAAACATCTGAAAGGATCAACTGAAAAAGTGACAGTTTCTTTGAAGAAATTAAAGATGTATTAGTGAATTTCAGTTTTGGTACATGTACCTATGATAGATAAGAGGTCTATGAGTTGGAAATAACATAGCTGGAATCATATTAAATTTAAAAAAATAATTTATACCAAATTGGTACCTCAGTTGTGGAATTATAAAATATAGGCTACTCTAGACATGCTCATCAAATAGCTACTGCAACATTCACCGAAACAATTCCACAGATTAATCTAACTCTGCATGAAAATTATTTTTATTTGAAGATCAAGAATTTAAGAAATGTTCCTGTGAGAAACTCAAATTACTATGTAAAACAAAAAGATGTGCTTATTTTAAAAAGTAATGTATTTTGTAACTCAAGATACCACAAATCAACATGTTTTAACAAAAATAATCAAGCCTTTATTTATGATATTCATGTAAAAGATGTTTGAAATTTTACTACAACTACCCCTTTTTTATTATAAAATATTTCAGAAACTTTTTAAAATTTTTAACACTGTGTCCATTCTTTAAAAAAACACTGAAATAATAAAAATATATTCATACGGTATTTACTCGAATCTAAGCTGCACCCCAAATTCCGAGAGAGAATTTAAGTAAGAGCCTGTAATTCCTCTAATTTCCCCATCTAACATATTTTTTAAAACTCAAGCTTAAAATTCTTATAGCACAACTACTGTAACTGAATTTCTTACTGAAGCTTTTAAAAAAAGCACTTATTACTGCTGCCAACTTTTTGACCGATAAAATAAAATTAATTATGTTAAGCCATAAACAAAGCTAGTACATTTCTTTTTCATAAGTGTCATGTGATAGTAAAATGAATCTCAATTGGGGGGGGGGGCTCTAAATCTAGCTGTGATAGGAAAGAGTCAATAAAAGACTGAAAAAAAAAGGCGAGGCTATATTTCACCTGTAAATACTAAACTGAAACAAAGAAAGTAGTTTTGACTTTTTAAGATTAAGTTAAAATGGGAGTCCTGGTTTATATTGAACAGTACAGTAAAATTTAATGAAAGCCAGCAGTTGGGTATCTTATTAACAAGTTATGTGAAAAAAAATTTTGAGTCAATTCCTACTTGGGTCAACAAATAAATTTTATTTTAGTTATTTTTTTAATAAATAGTTATAATTAATATAAATATGTAAATAAATATGACAGAATCACAATGTTAGGGGCAAAATAGAAAGCGATTTTCCTTGCAATTTTCCTTTCTATATATATGGTGTTGAACTATTTTTTGTTTGTTACTATTTATTCACTAGTTAAATTTAATTATTCTAATAAAATAGTATAGTAAAAGAGAAATCACATTCTCAGAAATTAGGCCATCCCAGGTGGGAATCGAACCCACGATCTTTGAATTAGAAGTCCAACGGGTTATTCATTGCGCCACTGGGTCACAACGAACGACTCTTTTCGATATATACTGTTGGACTATTATTTTTGTTTGTTACTATTTATTCATTTTTTAATTTAATTAATAAATTAATATTTGCAAAACTGCATTGACATCAAATGTCATTAACTAAAAGGTTAAAAAAATGTATTTGAACTTGAATGGATGAATAGAAAGTATTTTATTAATGATTGAAAATTTGAACAAGATATATATATATATATAATTCTACTGTCAGTGTTTGTAACCAAACTCCTCTGAAACGACTAGACCGATTCTTAGGAAATTTTGTGCATATATTTAGTAGGTCTGAGAATAGGACGTAAACTATTTTTCATTCCGATATTGCAATTAGTTGAAATATTAATTAAAAACCTTAAAATGTGAAATTGTTTTACCCCTGTGTGTTGCTTTTTTCGCCGTTTATTTCGCTTGGCGTCGAAAATCGGTTTTGCGCCAGGTGTGTAACTTTTCTGTTCTACCGTCCAAATCACCCTGCTCATGGGTTACAATAGAAAAATGGGTATCTATAGCAAATCAAAAATCATCAAATTTGGCGAGTGAAAGGTTCCCCCCCCCATTTTTTGTACATATTTTTAGTTCAAAAATTCATATATTGCATCGGTTTATAAAGCAAAAATATTTGTGAAAAACTTAATTTTTTTTACTTTATCATTATTTCAAATAAGTGACACGAGATAAAAGAAACGACTAGACCGATTCTTTTGAAAATTTGTGCGTATATTCAGTAGGAAACAGTTGTTGCCTGGGGACTTGATGTCATACAAATCTATCCATGCAGTTTGCGATACCAACGAAGCTGTAAATTATCCAGCAGAGTTTTTGAGCTCATTGGATTTGCCAGGCATGCCACCACACCATTTACAACTGAAGGTTGGATTTTCGGTTATTTTGCTTCGTAATTTGAACCCACCATGGCTGAGCAATGGCATGTGATTAGTGATGAAATAATTGATTGAAAATGTTGTCGAAGCTAACATTTTGAATGGCAAGTTCCGGGAATAAGATGTATTACTACCACGATTCCCTATTATTTCCACAGATGTGCCAATTGAATTCAAACGGATTCAATTTCCAATTAGATTGGCATTCACCATGACAATCTATGTCTCAAAACCAAACAAAGTCTGTTAATGGCTTAGATTTGGGCACACCGTGTTTTTCACACTTACCATTACACGTGGCATGTTCTCGCATGGGTAAACCATCCAGTTTGTTTGTATAAGCTAAAGATGGACTCACTAAAAATATCGTGCACTCCATTGCACTAAGAGACTGATAATGTGTTTTTTATCGTCATAATTTGTTATAGAGATGTAATTTGAAATTTATTAGTTAAAACAAAAGTACAAAGATTTCAAAAAATAAATGTTTGGTGTTTTGTTACTTTTATAGGCCGTCATCGTTCACAGCGCTCCATTCCTCTTTCAGTCATATACCACATCCCCACACACTTACAATTTTTTATTTGACTACCAAAATATTCACAAGAAATAATTTATATGGCAAAACACTGTTTGCCGGGTCAGCTAGTATATATATAGGGAGAGTTGAAACTAATAGTAGGAATTGAAAAAAATAAACAAAATGATTAACCACACTCGCATAATTTTTTCATTATGAGGAAAATATTCGTATGAAACAAAAGTTTACTACTATTGATAGCTATTAAAACAGGGCTAATTTTTTTTGTTTAAAAATGTTGGGAACATGTTATAAAAATGACATGTTTTAAGAAAGGGCACAATTCGAGTAGGAAAGCTCTTATAGCCAATTTTATTTAGATTTGAGAAAGACTAAGTTTATTTATTAAAATGAAGCAATTTTAATAAGTATTTTTTTAAAAAAATTAAAACACTTTGAAAATTTAAGTAGGAACTTTAGCAACTCTAGATTTCAAGAGTATTTAAATGTTTATTATTACCTGAAGCTTATTGTAGAGATCTTAAATCCTACTAAATCTCATTTGGTTTGAATATGACCAAAATTTACAACTATAAAATCTGTTACGAATAGTTCTAAATTCACTATAAATCCAACCAATAATGGTTTTAGATTCTTTGTGTAAATTGTTAAGAAATGTAGTAGCAAAGTAGAATATTTGACTTCAAGTAGCCGGAAGACGAAATATATAAGTTCAGTTTTGGGTTGGGCAAGATCATATATTGTGAAGCTCTCCTAGATTGAACCCTGATCAATTTGAAAGCTCTTAACAAAAACATTTTATTTTCCAGATTGTCTTTAGTTTAGAACATCATTGAAAGATTTGCACTTATATAACTTGACTTTAAAAAAAAAAATTTAAAGTATATTCTCAAGTTTTATGTCCCATTATAGACTGAGGAAATTATAATCAAAGGTAACTTTATTATATTCTCTATTCTTTAATATTTTCTATTACATATAATTGTGTAAAATGCTATGATTTAACCATGTCTTATAAACCATCCAGTCCATACCTTTCTGGGGATGCACTTTGATTTGACCTTTTCATAATTTTCAAATTTTTCAAGGAACTTACAAAATTTATCTTGAAATATACTATGATTTGTCTGATAATTCAAGTCTAATCAAGTTAAGCTTTTTTGAAAAAAATGTTTTTGAGTAATTTTTGTTTATTTTGTGTTATTTCTGAATTCCTTTATTTTTCTCTCAACAGATCTTCCGTTTGGACTCTGGGATTTAGAAAATTCCTTGCCTGAGGAGCTAATGGGGTCTGGCGGACTCGATCCGTCCGATATGCCAAGTCAAACTTCACAAACGCCAGCCCAGCAGAATCTTCTGAATGGGACTGGTGAAAGTGTTCCAGTAGAAAGCAATAATACTGTTGTTGGAAGTGCAACAACACAAAGGCATCAACAGTTATCTCAGTTATTACAGACAAAGCCAAATGTTTCTCATAGTACAGTTTCTACATCTTCATCTCATAGTGGGATACCCACAACTGAAAGGATATCCAGTCCCAGTGTGTCCTTAGCCTCAATAACTGCTGTGAAAAGTCCTCATGCGAATAATTTGACTCCTACCAATACTACTGTAAATAAGACTAATACTCCTGTTTCATCTTCTACTCACATAAGTGTTAGTGATGGTAGTGCAGCTATCACAAATATTTCTAATAGTATAGCCAATAGTTTAAGCAATACAACTGGAAGTTTGGGTATAAACAGCAATATGCTCTTAATGCAGAGCAAAGAAAATACGATAGGTTCTCAAAGTAATCTTGTGTCTCTTTCTACATCAGTGGCAGGAAATACCACTGCAAGTAATTCTCAACTTCATCCACCAATAGCTGTTGTGCAACCACAAAGGGTAAATCAACAGACTAACACAACATCACTTATTAATGGTAGTCATATACCCCTTGGAAATACTAGCTCATTAAATATAACTAGAGGGGCAAATCCATCTGTCTCGTCAGCTGTGACTCATAGTTCTGTGATCGCACCACATTCTCCTCATCAGAATATTTTAGGACATCCATCATTAAATAATCAAGGTGCTAATTTAAAGGTACTTCAGTTTTCTTTGTTTTTTAGTTTTACGTTATTATTTTGGTTGTATATGGGCTGAATTATTTCAGTCCTTGTAAATACACTTATGAGGTATTTAAAAACTGCTATAATGTAATTTTGTATATTGTTTTTTTTTGTATAAGTAAAATTTCATTAGGTAAGTAAACATCTTCATAGTGCTTAATGGTTTTAAGATTTGCCATTTTATGTGATTTTGAAATAATGGCGTGTGTATACTTTAAAAAATTTTAAATAAAATTTAACTACTTGACTATTTTTTTAAATGAAATACTTTTGTACCAACTAATGATCCTAACTTCTTTCTCAAAGTTAAATTGAACATACAAGGGGTGATCAAATGAAAAGGTACAAAACGACATAAAAACGAAACAGTTAACTATTTGCATATTCCGCCAAGGGAGAATGTAGCGAGACATCTCGGGATGCCATTGGAGACTCTGACTGGGATCGGATGATGCGCGGGTGCCCGCATGCGCAGGAGAGAGCAAAGGCTCTTATAAAAAGCGGCGTCCAAATGATGCGAGCACAGAATTACTCGAGCACAGAAAAAGCATTAACTCCGATGTGTACTGTGAGACACTCCGACGCCTACGCAGGTCCATCAAGAACAAAAGACCGGGGCTGCTCACGGAGGGTGTGGTTCTGCTCCATGATAACGCGCGTCCACACGTCTCCAGAGTCACACAAATGGAACTGGACAAGTTCCATTGGGAGACATTGGACCATCCGTCCTACAGTCCGGACATGTCACCCTGCGATTTCCATGTGTTTGGTCCACTGAAGAAACACCTGAAAGGAAAGCGCTTCAACTCGGACGACGTACTCAAGGACACTGTGAAGGACTGGGTCTCGTCACAGCCACAGGAATTCTGGGAACAAGGAATCCTGCGGCTTGTTCATCAGTGGGATCGTTGTGCTCAGGCCTATGGTGTATATTTTGAATAAAGTCTATATTTGTACCCACCGTGTCGTTTCGTACCTTTTCATTTGATCACCCCTTGTATTATAGATGATAGTTAAAACTTTTTTAAACAATGGATCATAAGTGCTTATAGTACAGTATGATCTTTGAAGGTTTGTAATATGGGTATACATATATGCTTGAGAAGGTAAGGAACTTAGAATTAATCTATGAAATCGTGCATATTTTTTCGGGCAAAAATGAAATGCAAGCAATTTTTTTCGGAAAAGAATTAAATATCTTATACTGGTGCAAAGTCAAGGTCAAGCTTGGGTCATTGTGTTTTTATTAACAATGCATTTGAGTCATACATCTTACTAATTGGGCTATTAACTATACTTTTACAATAAATCAGAGGTCTACAAACTTGGTCAACCCAAGGAACCCTAAAGTGTTTTCTGGGAATCCCATCCCACTTTTAAAAGAATTTCTTGAAATAAAAGTAGCATGTTATTACTTTATGTAAAGATAATTAAAGAAGAGTA